ATTGAAGGGTCAGAGAAGCGAGTGTCCTCGTAAGGTCCAGAGCGTGCAATGGACACAATTCTCGGTGTGTAGACTCTCAAGGCATGAAGGCAAGCGGAAATATGTTTATCTGGTTAGTGTATCAAATATGTTTATTTCCATTTGATTACAAAATTATTGATTCTTAGTAAATGGTTCCATAACGAGTTCTTTCTGCGACAGTCTCGTGTCAGGCGTTCAGTCGTAGTACCTGTGGACCTTGTTGTCGGATGACGCTCCTGGCACGTCGGTGTTCAATTTGGTCGAGTGGCAACTTTGACCGACTGATGCTGTCTTGTAATCATACGTCATGTGCACTGAAGCTGCAGGGCTGGCTTCTAATCCGAAAATTTTCCTGGTAGTTTTCGGCATCAATGTAGCAAGTTCGGGCATGTATTGCTTACGTGGCTGTGCCTTTTGCTGTACCGTTGACTTGAAAGCTGGCAACAATTTTTGTTTGCTATCCAAGTCTGGTGATGCTTGCAGTTCACTTTTGAGAGCAACCAACCATTCTATTCCTTCAAGTCACTCAGGGGCATTCTCCCTCAAAGTTGGAAATTGTGTGCTTCGTGGAGTGGACACAGAAAATTGGTGTCAGCAAATTTTTAGGTATTGTCCTTGGACGACAACCGACACCAAATCCACTGTCACTGCATCGCCGCTCACCTGCTTTGTCGTGCTTACCTCTTGTTGAGGTGATGGACATGAGGAGCTTTGGGGTAATCAGGGATTCAGAATCTTCGATTCAGCACCTTCGGCATCAGGGACAAAGGTCGCCGAATGTAATCCTTAATCTCCCGTGGTCGCTCCTCGAGACGGAATCGAGGGTCGTTTGGCACGAACCCTTGCCGACCAATTCATTGGTACGGGCTGCTTTGGTAGACATGGTAGGCGTCATGCAGTGGTAGCAAAGTGGTTTTCGGTTGCACATTCGCATCACCTACGTTTTCCTCGGTGTACTTTGTTGAGCACAGTCCTACACACAATGTCGGGAATGCTTCAGCAATAGAGTGTCTCATTGAATTGGCATTGAATACTAAGGGGCAGCCGGTGCGGTCGTCGTGCCATTGTGGCGTAAGTTGCCCTTGGTTTGTCAGATGCCGCTTCGCTCGCAGAAGTCTGGGTTGAAATACCTGTCAAACTTGTTCCGAAACAATCCCGGCAATCAAAATAAAAGCCGGGCAACTGATGGCAGGAAGTAGCTTCCTGATCTCCTCCCAGACAACGTCGTGGGTGATGTCGTGGATGCCTGGGAGGCTGGTGTCGAAGTAGTAGCTGGACAACTCGAGTGTCGAGACGCCGGGAAGTTGTTCATAGTGGCAGGCTCGGGCATGCAGTGCACATTCCATGTTGGAAGCCTCAGTGATATAAACACTTCGACTGTTGTTGGGGGGTTGCGGACAAGGCTGCCGAAGGTGTTGTCCCTCACGTGAGGCGCATGGGATTCTTAGGTTCTTGTCTTCTGTAGCATCAAGGTCGGCGTGGGCGTGGGCGCTCGATCAAGCGCAAAACATCCTCCACGAGTGCGGTGGCGCCCTCATTGGGGCAGTGTCCTGGACAGAATCAAGAATGAGGCTCTCTTTCGTTGATGTTGGCTGACGGATGCGCGCTTCAGCTTGATCTTGCTAACTTCCCATGACGTTAAGGAGGATCCATGGTTCTCAGACCAGCGCCGGCAGTTGCTTCCACGAGAAGTATAGGTTCTGCAGGAGCTGGTTGTCTGTCCACCCAATGTGGCGGGTGACACTGTCATATTGTTCAATCCAGTCCTTGACGTCTTCATACAGCTTGCGTGAAAAAGCGTCGGAGTGTGATTTGCGACGGGCATGCAAACAATGGTGGGAGGGGACACGGTTTGCTGCTACAGGTTTGTCATTGTTGGCTTAGTCAGCTTCGGATTTTCTGACAGGAGACCGAATTCTGGTGGTTTTTCCTGGTAGCAGCAACTGGCTCGGATTTCAGGTGCTTCGTGGTGTATTTCCGAGGTTACTCCTTGTGGTACTCGGTCGTCTTGCGGTTGTTCTGCCAGGCTCGGGTCAGGACTTTGCCTACGGCTCGACAGGGGTATAAGACACAGAATAGTCCGCCAGCCGTGTCCCATTATCGGGTAACTCGGCTGAAGAGCCGCCGGGTTCACACAGAGTGAAGGGCTACGGGTAAAGTGCCCAGTACCTCCACCTGAACATACGATTACAGCTGAGCATGATCTGCAGTGTGCCAGAATAGTGAATATTGATAGAAGATAGGACTGGAACAAGGATCCGTGACAGTATAGCAAAACTAGCAGAAGAGAATCTATCCTGACCACTGAAGAAGCTGCATTGCTTTAGTGGCATTCTGTCCGAATAAATCCTCTCCTTGGGGGTTTGGCGACTGCCGTGGACGAACTGAACTGAAATGGATGTGGGACCACTTTTCTGGTAATGAGCCACTGCAGACTGTTGCCACAAAGCGGCGTGAGCTGGGTACGTAACACGCTCGGTGAAATGTCCGGACAGCTTGCAATTCGCGTAACGAGTGTGGATGAAACGTTTGTGTTGACGAAACGTGCGACAGACCAGCGGGATCAATACCAACTGCAACACCTGTGCTCCGTGAAAGTGCACGTCTACGCCGGAACAATTTCGGAAGCAGCACAGCATCACCTAAAGCATGGCACAGGAACTGCCAGCTTGAAGGCAGCTCTTCGGTGCGCCGCACACCTGTGCTCCGTGAAAGTGCCCTTCTACGCCGGAACAATTTGTAAACAGCACAGCATCATTCAGCACGGCACGGGAACTACCAGCTTCAAGGCAGTCTTCCGGTGCGCCGCACAACCGAAGTGAGCCCTCGGTCATTTGATCGAAGCTGCACCGCGATTGCACACCACCAAGCACGACTCAGGCAATTTCCGTCGCTAAACTGTGTATCTAAATATATTGCACACGCTTCACTGCAGACCTCGAAGATTCCGATGGTCAACGAGAGCACAGAAACGTCGCCTTAAATTTTATCCTAGCGGTATCCGAATCAATCCGAGGTCCGAGCAACGTAGGTCAGATTGTCTCTTCCGTGGCAATATCCCGGTCGGTCACCAGCGAAATGCACACCGTTTCTCCGTATTTTCACGTTATACCTACGTCAAACACCACGCTGAACTCTGAACTCGCTTTCGACCGGCCTCATATGACGGCTTCCGCGTCTGAAGTCAACTCGCCGAGACGAACGACAACCAACAAAGCATCCGACAAGCTCCGGCCCAGCTGGGGCGAGCCGCGGCATGGGCGCTGCCATCTTTCCTGTGACGTCACGTATTTGGTTTGGTCATGTGACGTGTGGTCAAATTTGCGTACAATGGCAGCCTCCTTATGGGGGTCACTTTCGAGTGCAGACCGGAACCCCGGTTTATCGCTCTAAGCCCCTCTACCTCGTTGCAACGAAGGAGCATACGGCGCCGACAGCCGGCGAATTTAGCAGACGACCTTTTCGACTCGAAAGCGGCGCGCGTTCCGCAGGCGGCGACAGTCGCAGAAACAAAAACAGGAGCGGTAACAACAAGGAACTGCAGTTCCTTGTGTGCTAAAGACGCCGTCTCTCGGCGTCGTATGCTTGTTCGTTGGCGGCAGTTGGCGTCGCGATCGCTTGCGCCATCTCTTTCTCCCGTGCGAAACGGCGCCGTGTCGTTTGAAGACCGGTGGCGTCGCTGCGTTTCTATAGGAGCTAAGCTTTTTTTCTTTACTTTTTCCTCAGGTAAGTTCGCTCTTTGCAAATTTCACAAAAAAATGCACCCTCAGTGGGCAACGCTGCACAAAGTCGTAGCGCGATAGGTTAAGAAACCGAATTTCGCGGTCGATTTAAAGAGCCCGGCGTCTCCTTGAATCACCCTGTAGTTGATAACAACAAATTCGTCAGCAAATAGTTCACTACACACACGTCTGATGACAAACATTGGCGATCTCCAACGATGTCTGGTGCACCGCACATAATATGAACAGTGCTTACCAAGTCCGTGACTGTTATGGAGACTGGTGGCAGGAGTCGATTAACGAACACTTAAAGGCTAAAAACCTGATTCGAAAAAAAAAAAAAAAGGATGGAAAAAGTTCGTGTCTAGACGCTTGCGTATTTTCGCAGCAAACATTACGTCTCTGCTTTCCTGCCCTCGTGTGCTAGTGTTTTTAATCTCAATCGGCAATGTACCACTAGCATTATTTTAACCCAATATATTTTCATATTCGACTCAATCCTCAATAAAATGGACTGAAAAATGAAAGATATTTAGACTACCAAGTTGCTGAACAATAGTACTTGTCCGCACGCGGGTAGCGCAGGCATTGAAAAAAAAGAAAAAAACTCGGTGTAATTTACAGTTCTAAGCACCCTCACGTTTTCCGACATTATAAGCCACAACCACGAGTAAGGCCGCTTATATAATGATCGCAGCTGAAAATTGAAGAACGCTATTTTCAACCAGACTAAAAACACCGCTTCAAATTTAAAGTTCAAGCAAATTAGACAAAAAATATCTATATTATTTATTCTGCAGTATGGTACAGTGCAGAACGCTGTATGTTAGGCCGTCGAAGCTCTCGCGCTCTTAGCAGTCAGCATAAAGTGTCTTCGGTGGCCATAAATGTAAGAAATTTGTCTGACACTGCCTGAATGCTAGAAAATAAAATTATGGTCTAATGACACGTAAGAATGACATAACTAAATAAATAAATAAAAAAATAGATAAATATTCATTAATACGTAGCTGATTTAGTTTATTCTTGTGGCAATCTTGAAATTGCTGGAATACTTAACAAGAAAAAAGAAAAAAAATATTTTCTTTGACGTAGATTCTTTTTTTTTTTTTTTTCTATTGCAGCCGGGAGCTTGTTTCCTTGTTGGAACAATTTTTCGCCCATTTGAGGCTTGGCAGTTCTCTCTAAAGGTCGACCATACAGTTTGAGGGAAACAATAGTCAGTCGTCTTCGGGGATTCGTAACATTTTACCCAAGATGAAATCCTGGGTTATGTTCCTGGCTCTGGGAGGCGTCATGGTCGGTAAGTCAAGAGCTTGTTTTTAAGTAAACTTAAAATACAGTCATCTAGTCTTCTCTACTTTAAACTGGTAAATTAATTTCTTATTATATCTGCGCGAGGCAGTTAACACTTGCAACGGATCACCGTTTTCCCTTCTTTTAAGGTACTGACGAGCCTAAACATATAGCGTCTAGGATAGTGCTACGAATAACATTTTCTACGGTTCTAGTAGTTTAGATGTGGATCTAAGTAAACGCTAACAAACTATATTTTCATCATATTCGTCAGTATTGAAAACTTAGTGTCATATGGTGTGTTTTGCTGAACTTCCCCACTTGAAGAGCTTGGTAAAGATAAGGGCTCTTCTAATGCGAAAGCAGTAAATGGGCTCGTAACGCGATTTGCCGTTATTTAAGCTTGAAGCCGGCTTTATCATTGTCTGTAGCAGCGACAAACAGCACCTCAAATCCCCTGAACAAAATGGCTCCTAAATTACCATTGGCTGCGATGCGTTATGCGGCTCCATAGCAACGGCGTCATCCTTGTTAAAAGAGTCAGCCGAACAGCTGGTGGCGCTGCGCAAAGTGTAAAAACACGTCAGGACTACGTAAATTAATGGCTTTGAAAAGAAAATTTTATACATCTCGGTCTCGGGAGGAATCTAACCCGAGCTTCCGAAGCGCGAGACGAGCGCGCTTCACCGACGCCATGGCGGCTCCACGGTTCCGGCGGACTAAATTTGTGGCAGTGCGTGCGTCATGGTTTCGCATTCCCACTCGCAAGCAGTCTGATACCGAATTCCTTTCAAACGCACTGGCCCCGTTCGAGTTTTTTCTCAGAATGCACCGCACTAGCGGAGTGTCGCACGGAGTACTCGCCTCAAACAAACTTGCCGAATCCACCGAGTGCAGAAGACTGGTGCTGCCGCCATTCATGTTGTAGAAAGAGTAGCTATCTTAAGCCGAAACTAGCGCCTTTCTGTTCGACGTGATCGGTGGGAATGCAAGAGTGCAGTCGCTACCAACGTTTATTTATATACACGTTGGTAGCTGCAACCTGTAGTTTTTGTTTGTGAGGCCTTCATGCAACTAGGCTGTCGTAGAGATATTTTAAGACGGCGTAAATTTCCGCAACCAGCGGACTACAAAGCAGCTGAGGTTTACAATAGACAAAACTGATGATGCTGTCCGCGCAGAAGCTTGATCCGCTTGAACATGGTATTATGCGGGAACCACTGAAAGGATCTGTCCGAATGTCCAGCAACACGTTTCGTGGGACCTTTGATTTCGATTGTAGTTACAGGTAGATCAGATTTTAGCCTTGGTGAAGGCGTCGAGAAAGAGAGCTTCCTCAAACAAAATATGGCGGGGCGAGATAGCTAACGTAGGTAAATTTTAAACATAGTGATTGTGGCTCGTACGCAAGTAGTGAGGTCAACAACGTTTATTGACGCCCCGTGAGTTCGTATATGCAGTATGCCCTAGCGGCGCTGCTGCCGTGCCAATGACAAGGCTGATTTGGTATCAGCTAGTGACACTGTGCTACATCTTCCTTCTATCAAACAGAATAAAATTAACCCAGAAGAGAAACATAATATACAAAAAAATAAAGGAATAGAAGATATTACGGTTGTACGATCGCGCTTAAAGTTCTGGTCGTGGGTATCTGACGGGGCACCGCCGTTGTCTTGAACTACTCCTGAGCTCCTAGGTTGGACAGTCTTGTGATGGTGGGGCTCCCGTTGAGGGTTCTTCCCTGACCTGTCGGCCAGTGAATTCAGCAGCCGCAGTGGTGACAAGTTACTATTGCCGCGTCAGCAATTCAGGAGCCGCTGTGATAATGAGTTGCTGCTGCCGAGGCGGCAGCCCTCGCAGGAGCTCTCTGCGTAGCACTCGACCGTCATTAGTTTTGATCACAAATTAGCGGGGAGGCCCCGCACGCCTCATGACGACTGCTGGAGACCACGTGCGTGAAATGGTATCAAATGTAGACACCTGCTGACCATATTGTACTTCCGGATGGGCATTTGTTCTGTTGTAGAAGGCCCGCTGCTTGGTGTGGATCTCTTGTAGTCGGCTGTGCCCCTCCTTGGGCGGTACGATGGCGGGTTCCGGGCAGCAGTCGGGAACCGGATCAGTGTGCTTGTCTGACGACCCATTAGTCTCTGCACTGGTGACTTGAGCAGGTTATCCCTAGGGCCGTTGCGCCATTCCAAGAGGGCGCCGCAGATGTTAAGAGTGTTGTACGAGCACATAGGTAGCAGTTTCTTTGCCTTTTGTACGGCTTGCTCAGTCATTTCTTTGAACAAGGTTGGTGAGGGCTTGACGTGACGTGAATAATTCGAAACTTACTCACTAAGTCCTTGAAGTTGTAACTATTGAGGGGGTGCCGGTTGTCATTGCACAATTTGGCTGGTATCCCATGAGTAGCGAAGCCTCCTGCACAGGCGGATGCCAATGCAGCTGCCATGGACTGTCGCAGTTCCTTCATCTCAAAAAGAAAGAGTAGAAATAAGCAATTATCAAAAAAATGTCCGGTTGCTGTGGTAGACCAAGTCTAGCCCCACCATCTTTTACGGTAGGTTGGGTAGTTCATGGCACAGTAATGGTAATCTTGCGTTTCTGTGCTTATGCTTTGTGCAGACCTCACATGACTTTTCAATAGCTTCAATTTCGCATTACATGGAGGGCCCACAGATCACTTCTGTGGCGCGCATCTTCATTTTGGCTTCACCCCCATGTGCGGCATTCAAAAGTTTCGAAATCTCCGTCCTCTTGGCCTTTGGAATTACCGCTTTGTTACTCCTGAAGACCAGCCAATCTTGCACGTGCATCTGGTCTCTGTAGTTCCAGTACGTTCACAGTTCCTCCGGGAAGTCTCGTTTATCAGCTCACCGGAATGCTTATGCATACTCTAGGAGTTGGATGAAAGCCGCGTCGTTTTCTGTCGCCTGGAGGATGTGCAGCCGTGCATCAGAAACTGATAGTGTGGAAACAATGTTTACTTGAAGCTGGTCGCTTTCGTCTTTTAGCTTAGTTTTGGTTGGGAACCTTGGCAACGACTCCGCCAGATAAAGTTTCTTCCCTGGCTTGTACTGCACGGTATTAGGGTATCGCTGAAGCACTAGCCTCATTTTTTTGTAGCTGGAGCGGCAGTCACTGAGGGGTTTCCTGAATGTTGCTTCCAGTGGCTTATGATCCGATTCAACGGTCACAGATGAGTGCCCTAAAATATAATCTTTAAACTTGCTGCATCCGTATACTATACACCTTTTTCGTTTAGCCTCGCACCCAGCCACGTTGTCCCTCTATCCGGTAAGCGTTCCGAACAAAAAGCAAAAAATTACAACCCTGAACAAGTAAAAAAGTATAGAAGATTCCTAACAAGAACGACTGACTGTTGCAGTTAAAATGTTAACACGTTCTACTGTCGAGGCGAGAAGAAAGCGATGTTTTCACGCATACCGGAAGTTCCAGAATTGAAGATGGCGGCGCCTATGTAGAAAAGGTCTATAGCGAACGCCTCTTTTCCAATCTGGGTGTTTTTTGGTTGAGTCTCGGTGAGGGAGCGTGATGAGTAGGCAATGCGATGTCCGTTCTGAGTGACCACCGCCCTGACGCCGGTTTGGCTGGTATCCACTGACAACGTGACTAGTTTGCCTTGCGCAAAATACGCAAGTAGCGGAGCCTTGGTAGGTTACTCTCTGAGCGTTTTAAACTGCTTTATTGGCGCTCAGTCCAAACCAAAGAGATATCTTTTTTTCCAACAACTCGCGCAATGGGGCTCAAAGAGCAGACATAGGTTGTATGTATCTTGTGACGAAGTTCGTCATGCCAAGAACTATTTGTGATTCCTTACGGTCTCTGGACTCCGGAACAACAAAGATGTCCTCGACTCGTTCTGGGTCTATGCTCTGAGCGTAGACCGATCAATTTTGGTACCTAGGCCATGTTTTGACGACTGGAGCTACACTCGTCAAAACATGGCCTAGGTACCAAAATTGATCCTGCAAAAAGCGACACTTCTTTAGATTCAACTTGAGATTCTGCTTCTCGCAGCGTCGCAGCAAGTTATTCAGGTTCGCGTCATGTTCTTGTATCGTGGTTCCCCAAACTAAAATATCGTCCGTGACGACTGCTACGTTCTTTAGGCCTTCTAGGACACCGTGCATTGCGCGCTGGGTTACTTCTGTGGCTGTGGAAATTCCGAACGGCATGCGCAGAAACCTGTATCTGCCATAAGGGGGGCTCATGGTACAGATGTCCGAACTTGCCTCTGACAAATTTATTTTTCAGAAGCTGATGACGCATCCAATGTCGAAAAAAACTTGCTGCCGTGCAGATGTGGAGCTACATCTTCTATCGTCGGCATGGGATAATGTTCACGTAATTTAGACGTTTGTTAAAATCAGATGGGTCCAAGAAAATTCTGACCTTATCTTTCTTTACGACGACCACCATGTAACTCGACCATTCCATTGGCTAACTTACCTTTGTGACGACTTGATCCGCCTCCATGTGGTCCAACTCGCCTTGACTCTATCCTGGATGGCCACAGGTATTCGTATTGCTGCCTTGACGGTGCCCTTAGATTTTGGTTGTAGCGTCATATCGTGGACCACACTTTTCAGCTGGCCGAGCCCTTGAACAACTGCTTCAAAAGATCGTGCTGCACTGTATAGCTCTGCGGTGCTCACACCTGCAACGCGAGTAATCAGTCCGAAACGTTGTGCTGCACTGCCACTCAAGGTAATTGGAACCTCTTGGCGTACAACCAAAAACCCAGCCTGACATTCATTGTCTTGATCACATAGATCGAAGAATATTCTTTCTGGTGCCTTTTCTGCATGATCGAAGAACGTGTTCAGGGTGTTGTTGCCCTCTACTGTTGGCTTCGTCGTAACTTGGCCTAATGTGGTCGTGGAGATTATTCAACGATTGGCCCCGGTACCTATTTTGCAATGAACGGAAACGCATTCTAATGTCACCGCAGCCGTCCATACATCCTCGCGAGATACAGCA